ACGGAAAGGACAAAAAATGAGAAAAAATCGAATCCTGAATTGTCATTTATTATCATATTTTATAGATATTATTGCAAAATAATTTTTATAATATTTTTAAAAAGATATAAATTAAATTTCATTTCGTATATTTATAATAATACTTTTAAAATGTTAAAAAAATAATTGAGGAAATTTTGAGAAAGACAAATAGCGCTCGAATTTAAAGATAGAAATTTAAATGGAAATGATTTATGCATTAAATTAAAATTTGATTATGAAAGTAATAAAAGTATGAAAGATTTTTAGGGAAATCCAGAAAAAAACAAAAAAAAAAGGAAAAGGAACGAATAATTATTATTTGTCTGATAGTACAACTAAAAGTGAATTAAAAAAAAAAAGGGTTGGAATAAATTTAAGTTTATATTATTATGAAAAAAAAAGAACGTTAAATTTATGAATAAAAAGTTCAGATAAAATGAAAGAAGAGGAAATATTGAAATTGAAAAGAATTGAACTTTTTTTTTTTCAAGTTTTAAAATAAAAAGAAAAGGAAAAAAAGATAAAGGAACGGTGAAACAAAAAGAAAAAACAAAGGTAAGAATATTTAAGTTGAAATGTTGACGTAAAGATATGCATGGATGAAAAAGGTAAAATAAAATTTAAAATTATAAATGTGAATATTAACAGTAGAAATTGAAATTAATGAAGAGAAGCAATAAATGAGTACATTGAAGGAAAGAAAAATTTAGAATTAAAATAACTGTTAGATTATTGTGAAATTTTTTATACTTTAATAATATTACTCATTTTATCTTATCATTTATTTGAATTTGAAGTAAATATTGAATATACTGAAAAATTTGTAATTGAAATTGAATAATTCATGAAGCATACAAATCGATAGATAACTGATAAATTGATTCCATTAAACAAAACATCATTAGGAATTCTCAATTAACAAATAATTTATGAAGCAATTATGGTAAAATGATATCACAAATATCAGAATGATACTGAAATATCGATTAAATTTATTTAAGTACGACAAATATGAGGATGATACTGAAAATACCGATTAAATCTATTCAATTGAGATAAATATTAGGATGATACTGAAATAATGATATGTATGATAATTAAATTTATTCAGTTGTCACCTAAATACTGGAAATAATAGTTGACATTTTATATCCGTAACAGACTATGTATCTTTTAGCATTACTACCATTCTTTACAACTACTACTATCATAGAAAATTTATCATTTTTTTTTTTTGTTCTTTTTATTAAATCCTTCTATCTCAATTGATTTTGAGATACTTGAAGTTTTTCTCAAGTGTCACTTTCATTGGTAAACTGTAATGAGTGTCACATTGAGGTTGACTATCATACGTCTACGATATGTTGCAAAAAAGAAATTTTAGGAATGACCAATGATAGGAAATCATTCAATTCTTAACATCAAATCATCTAAGTTTCCAAATTTAACTTTCAATTCTTGTCTATCCAAATATTAACTCTGTTTATAACACAAAGTAGTATTTGCAGAATTTTCAAACTACTTGAAAAAAAAACTTTTTTTTTGGAATCAAAATTTCGGGTGAATTAAAATGAAAACGACCCACTCGATAATGATGTTTTTTTTTCTTTCCTACTACAAATATCATAAAAATATAAAAAGCCAAGTTCTGTCCACTTAATTTAAAAAAAAAAAAAAAAAAAAACAACAACAAACAA